CAAAATGACTAAAAGACAAAAAAAAATGAAAGTGAGCTATGAGAGTTATAAAAATATATCAACAAGAATAATTTCCACGCATGGCTGAATATACTACGAGGGATGTCTTTTAAGTTTTGCATATAGAAACATAGTAGGCCGCGCGGATCGAACGTCAGTACTGAATCTTAATCTCACTGTTTAGTAAACTTAAATTCAAAGTTTCACAACAATACGTGCAGTGTTCTCACTACAGTGAATTTATTACAACTTTCAGAGACAATTATCGCAACAAGAATGCCTTGCTGAGTTACTGTCTGTTTTCGGCAACGAAGCGCCACATCAGTCGACAATTTCCCGTTGGTACGGAGAATTCAAACGTGGACGGGTGTGTCTTAGCCACGATTCCAGAGTGGGTGAACCAAAAACGGCAGTCACCCAGGAAAACGTCGATGCTGCGCGCAAACTCATCATTGAAGATAGACATGTGACATATCGCGAGATTGAGGCGTCCTTGAAGATCTCAAAGACCTCAATTACCCCACCTGTTGACTGAAGAGCAGAAAGCAGCCAGGGTTAATTGGTGTCAAAAAATGCTTGACCGTTTCAATTCCGGAGACCCAAAAAATGTGTACAGCATTGTTAGTAGTGATGAATCGTGGATTCACTGTTATGAACCAGAAAATAAACGGCAGTCGGCTGTTTGGGTGTAAACAGGGTGAAGAGAAGCCAACAAACGTCATCCGTTCTCGAAGTGTTTCGAAAAAGATGGTCACGAAATGTATGTCAAAAGCGGGTCATATTGCAACAATTCCTCTTAATGAGCAAAGAACTGTTACTGCGGATTGGTATACCAACATTTGCTTGCCAAAAGTCATCACCGAGCTTCGAAAAATCAACCCCGAAAGAAGAATCATTCTCCACCAAGACAATGCAAGCTCGCACACAGCCCAAAAAACAAGGCAGTATTAACGGAAGAAAACGTGGAATTATTGGACCATCCTCCATATAGTCCCGATCTAAGTCCTAACGATTTCTTTACTTTCCCGAAAATTAAAAACAGACTGCGTGGTCAAAGGGTCCAGTCACCAGAAGAAACAGTTGACGCATTCAAAAATGCCGTTTTGGATCTGCCAGCAAACGAGAGGAATAAGTGCTTCGAAAATTGGTTCGAGCGCATGCAGATGTGTATTAATCTTCGTGGAGAATACTTCGAAAAACAATAAAGTCATTTAAAACTACCTACCGTGTTGTTTTATTTCCATATGCAAAACTTAAAAGACATCCCTCGTAAAATATTCAGTTTTCGTTTTTAGGTATAGCTACAGACTCATTCATTAGAACATTTGGAAAATGTAAAATAAAAATTACTTTACTATAGAGTATATAATTTCATTTACAAAGTTGTCGCAATAATTTAACGAACAGTTATTCATTTCAAAAGAATTTGTATGATTTTATCAAATAAAGTGATAAATTTCATGTTTTTTTAACACGAATTGAGTGAAATATTTAATTCAAAATTCGTTGTTGTATAGTTTTGTACAAAAATATGAAACTGTGTACATAACATGACTTCTTCAACACAAATTTATGAATACTCCTACTACTAAAATGTTTTACCTATCAAATTATTTTCTCAACATAATACCCGATATTTTTTTGATCAAACATCTCCGATTTTGGGTAGTGTTTACTATGATTTCTGTGAATTATAGGAACTGGATTTTATGAGCTATGCCATTAGAACAGTTCAATTTAATACTGATACATGGATGCTTATGATGAGGATAATAGATCCATAGGGGTTGCAGTGACGTAAGACGTTGGAGTCAGCAATCAAATTCAACAAAATAAAAAGACTGATAGAAGAAAAATCATTTTTATCCGAGTCCATAGGGAATTTTTATGGACTGAAATAAATCCTAAGTTGATCGCTTCTATGACATTTTTGCATTTGAATATTTCAGTTTTTAGTGTGGGCTCGATCGATAATTCCGTTATTACGCAAGGTATCTAAAACGAATAATTAAAAAATTGTAGCCTGCATTATGCTCCTTACTTGGGAAATATTTTCATCTCAAGAGGGTGATTGAACTACCTGGTGACGCTAACATACATTTTTTAAGTCCTTCCTATCGGAGCAATTTGGTATAACGTGCTATAGGGTTTTATTTCCAAATTGTTGAGATATGAAACAACTCATTGAAAAAAAACGCCAAACCTCGACATCTCGTATCTCTTCAACTGTTGACAGCTGACAAACTCGGCAGAAAAAAATATGATTCTATATTTTTTCCTACATAATTAGTTATTTCTTATAGTGTCAAGAACGAAAAATGAACGATTTATAAAAATGTTCAAACGGATTAATTACCCTGTATATTTTCACATACTTTGATTCCTCTTTTCAATAGTATTCTTTTTATAAACTTTTTGGGGGTTTGTGCGGCTGGTTTTTGAGTTGCACCTAAACTTTTTGTAAATCAGATATCAAGGTAATGAAAAATATTACATTACGTTTCAAAATAAAAAATAGAACTTAGCTGGTAACGGTAGATCGCAGAACTGGTGTATTTTCATTATAAATCAAATCTATCAGACCTTATACGAGTATAAAAGAGTCGGAAAGTCAAGAAAGTGTCTTATTTATTGTTTTTATTAATCTCAGCTGTCAGAATACGTTTAAAACAGTTTTGGGTAATTAAGGTTTTCAAAATGGCTAGAGGAAAGGTTATTAGTGAGAAAATTCGGTTACTGATAATTAAATTTTTTAATTCTGGGAAATCAAACTCAGAAATTGCAACTTTGTTAGACTTATCGCGGTACAGTGTGAGAAATATTGTAAGAAGATGTAACGTAACTGGCTCAGTTAATATTAAGCCACGATATGTGAAAAAAAGTAATATCACAAATGCCGACCGAAGAGCATTAAGAAGAATAATCGTGAAAAACAGGCGTGCCAATTATTTACAATTAAGTGCTTCCATGGAGTGACGCTGTTGGAAGGAGAATTTCGAGGTCCACAACTCATAGAGAGGCACACAAACTGGGATTTAGCACTTGCAAGGTAAGTTTTCTTATAAAAAAAGTGAAGTAAAAACCCTAAAGTTGCACAACTTGTTTATAGGCCAAAGAAAAGCCACTATTAACTCCACTGCAAAAGAAAAATCGGCTTAGATGGGCCAAAGAACATAGACAATGGACACCTCAACAATGGTGTGCAATACAATGGAGTGATGAGGCCCGATTCGAAGTTTGTGTTGGTGACAGTCGCAGTAGAGTTATTCGCAAAAAAAATTACTTTTGGCAATTTTAGAAGAATCGCTTTTACCAGTGATGGAAGAATATTTGACATCCGGCCAAGATTTTGTGTTTCAGCAAGATGGTGCAGCATGCCATACGTCAAAAAAGGCTATAAAATGGATGGAAGAAAATAATGTACCACTTTTGGAATGGGTTTCTAGCAGTCCAGATCTGTCACCTATTGGAACTTTGTGGCACGAGATGAAAAAGGTTCTACGACAAGATCCTGCTCGTACAATCACCGAACTGAGACAAAAGCTTCAAGAAATATGGGATTGTTTTACACCAAATTTTTGCCAAAACTTGTTTAACACTATGCCCCAAAGAATTTCAGCCGTAATAAAAAATAGAGGTGATGTTACCCGATGGTAATCTTTCAATTGTTGCTTTGTTAACTTCCCACATTTATTCGCACATTGTTTATTTGTTCAGATGTTCTATTAGTTATAGGTCTAAGTGATTTCAAATATGTATTTTTTACGACTAGAGTGTATCTAAAATGTTTTTGAGAAAATAAATTGTTTTAGAAGTAAATAGTTTCGTCATGTTTAGTTTATAAAGGCATATTTTGCTACAAATTTTGAAGTGGGCCAACTGAATTGGGAAGGGGCTCGCAGATAGGGAAAAAGCATACTTTATATCAGGTTCTTGAACTTCTTCACTCTTGTTGCTTTTGAAAAAACCTTGTCATTTCCAAACAATAACGCAAATAAAATTATGGAAAATTCAAACGTTGGCTATGAAATTAAATGTCAGACTTAACAATGTGATAATTTAATAGAAAAATAAGCAAGTGAAGTAATAGAAAAAAGTCTTGAACCATTTAAAATGCTTCAATTGAACTGTACTGTCGATTAATCCTCTTTGATACACTCAAAACATGTACCAAAGTTCAAGAAGAACTGAAAATTTTTTTTCTTGGAACCCTTCTTTTATGGTTGCGTTAAATTACAATATTTTGGATTTTCCCTATATGCCCCTGCTCTGTGCCGGTTATTATGCGAAACACCCTGTATACAAGCATTCATCTAAAATTATCCTTTTATTTTAGTACTCGATGTGTTTCGGTTCGAACTATGGCATTATTTCAAAAATTTAACCATTTTCGAATATACAACTTTTTTCCTATGAGTGCATAGTCGCAACACCTCTTACTTCAAATATATAATAAAACACACTGAGACATAGACGGTATACAATTGTTAAAATATTGAGCCGTTAACCTCACAATAAAACCAAACGTTGAAACAATTTAAAACAATTATAATAGGAATAGAATTTTCGATTTTATTGTGACCGCAGCTGAGCCATAATTTTATTTTTATATACATTTTGTGTCTCAGTGTGTCTTATTATAGATTTGAGACTATAGTGTTGCGACTAAGCACTCACGTAGAGATAGTAAGAAATATTCAAAAGTGGTCGAATTGGGCATTTACAGAGTAATCAGTTACTAAAATACAAACATAAATGCTCATTAAAGTTTAAAATAACATACAAAATCCTTAAATGCAAAAATTTTATAGATGCGATCAACTTCAAATTTTGAGTTTTTTCAGTACCAAAAAACCTACTTATGGACCTGACTGGACTGATCCTTTGCAATCTAATGGACATTGCTTTGTTTTGAAGAAACTATATGTTTAGAAGAATCGAAACTACAGTGAGTGTAAACAACGAAGAATCCCAGAAGGTGCAGAAATAATTCAAACACTAACCCTGAACAACCGAAATATCCTCTTGACGGCAGCCAGGAAATGCTCGCTTTTTTGTCTGTACTTCTTGCAGTGTGGTTGCTGCCCGTGCCCGGCAGTCTGTTGTTTCGACTTCATCTTCACCGCTGCCGATAATACTGGAATGACTGCTGGTGAACAGCATGCAAGGACGCCTGGCCGGCTAATGTCTACGTACAACGTTGAGCCAGTCGAATTAGACGATGTCATACATTTGATAATGCTTATCGAATTGGCGGTCACTTTTTTGGAGATAAGCAGATCGATTCGGTTCTTCCTAAGTGGTGATCCATATCCACTTTCAAAGTACCCAGAGTTCATTTATTTGGCGGAGGTTCTTTGGAAATTTTCATTAAAGCTTTGCATATTGACACCTTCGCGCCGATTTCGACGAGCACGCATGGGCTTGTTTGGAAAATAACAGTATCTTTCCTGACTCCCTCTAATGACAAAAACAGCTATGTATCAAATCAAACTAGAGAAAGTACCAACCAACAGGCGCTGCAGAGTATACACATAAGTTATATAAGTTCACTTTCAAAGCAGCTTTGCTTTTTGACAAACCTCAAGATAGGAGACAAAACTGGCACGAGAATCTTTTTAATTTGTCGGATAGCTAATGTGATCATAGGAAGAGTAAGAATGAAATTGCCAAAAAAAGTTTTCGGCTGGTATTTTTTAAATGTAATGTTTTAAGAACTTCCAGCTATCACTACCACATTGAAAAACACGTGGAACTATGACAAGACAATACGAACACAATACAGAAATAGGATAGGATGAATATAGAGCAACTTTGAGATTAAAACACTTCGAAAAGGCGCTTACTTTTTTGTTTACGTGTCAAAAAAAAACGGGGTCATAATGATTTTCTAAAGCCTCCAAAATTGAAAAAAGGGTCCAAAATCTCACGAAAATTGATCCGGAATGCCTAATTGATTGAACCAGTTATACTCTGGAATCATCTCTTTTGGAGATTTAGAAATTTCAAGTATTTTCCATTGAAAATTGTAATTTTAAAAGCGGATATAGATCCGTTTTGAAAGACTGACAACAATGGGTCTCCAGGACTGCAACACGGATTTCGTCCATGAAAATCCAGTGACAGCATTTTGTCCCAAGCGCTTTAGTACAAGAGAAATTGGTCAATGATGATCATCATAGTGATTTGATTGCGTTCGAAAACACTGGCTTTTACAAGCCTTTATACGAACTCATGACATGGCGTATCAGGTACATTTTCAAATTTCTAGGTTCGATTGATGCTAGATATATTTTATACAACTTTTTATTACTCGTGTTTAGTTAAGTTTTCAGGCAACATTTTGAACTAAGAAGAGTTTTTCACACTCTTCAGAAGCAATGTATTGGTATCGTCAAAATTGTCATGCGTTTTTAACCCCCCTGTTTCCTTCACTGATTATTTAGACTATGGATCTTGCTCTTAGAATGTTGATAAGTTTTCGGATAAACATTATTTTTTTCTTAATGGATTTAGGAAGAAACGCTGAGATTTTTTTTAATTACCCACCATGTTCAAATGATGTTCACAAACTCATTCATAAATAGGACGCGTGGAACCTGAAACATGAGAAATCATGCAAAACTGAGAGAGCATATGGCCACATTTGGTTAAAAATAAATCGCTGAAAATTTGAAAGGTGTAAAAGTCTTACTTACTCGTTTTACTTGAGTATCTTGAATTTTGATTATATAAATGAACTGGACTACATAATAAAAGAGCGATAAGGAGACTTTCAGATAAGAAGATTGCTAAACAACAGCTATAAATAAACTTGTAACAACGATCTCTATAATATTCTCGCTATAAGGATTCTATATTTGTAAGATAAACATTCAATGCTATTTTCAGTTTTAAAAGATAATGCCTTGAGTAATGACTTATTAAGACTCTTTTTACTGCCATATAACTTTGTTTTTGTTGTTTATATAAAAGAACAAAAGAAGTATATCACTAGAGATCCATCCTAGGATGTGTCTAATGAAATTATGATGTAAACTATCAGAATAACAACATTGTTTCAAAGATAACAGATTACCAAGCTTGGTGTTCAAGTGAGGTAGGTATAAATAAAGGGTGGGCCATCAGTTGGTATTTTCAAGTTAGTATTATTTTGACAGTTGGTAACAATCCCATGCTCAACATATTGACATATATATTGCTGTGAGCACTGGATCGTGTTAATCTTGGACAAAGGTGCGAAATATTTTCAAACTATTTTCAAAGTGAGTCCTGTGTTGAAGAAACTGCGAAAATTGAGAAGACTATTTGGTCGGAATGAAGCTCCGTCCGCGACTGGTATACGATAATTCGTGAAGAAGATTCGTGAAACTGGCCTGCTTGTGGATAACAGAAGATATGAAGCGTATTCGACCCGTGGGCATCAGTTGCATTTCTGTGCGGAGAATATTGCATAACGACCTGGGATTATTTCCTTACAAGGTGAAACTTGTGCAAGAGTTGAAACAAAATGACCATCCGCTTCGATATCGTTTCTCTGTGTGGGCTCTGAAATAATTGGAAACGGACGTTAATTTTGGTCGCCAAATCATCTTTTCGGACGAAGCCCATTTCTATCTGGGAGGTTACGTTAACAAGCAGAACTGTATGATTTGGGCTTCTTCTGAAAAGCCACATGTCGTCATAGAAAAACCAATGCATCCAAAGAGAGTAACTGGTGTGGCTTTTGGAGTGGTGGGATTATCGGTCCCTACTTTTTTCAAGATGAAGATGGTAACAGCGTGACGGTAAACAGGGAACGCTATAGAGACATGTTCAGGAGACATGCACTTGCACGATCTCTGGTTCCAGCAGGATGGCGCAATATGCCACACCAGCCGGGAAACAATCGATGTTTTACACACTAAGTTCGGTCATCGCGTTATTAGCTGTTTTGGAGACGTTCATTGGCCAACCCGCAGCTGTGATTTGACGCTCATGGATTACTTCCTATGGGGTACTGTTAAGGACCGCTGTTACACTAACGATCCTCAAACAATTGATGTTCTTAAGGAAAATATCCGTTGAGCTATTGATGAAAGAGACCCACAAACTATCGAAAATGTGCTTCAAAATTGGGGGAGGATGGATTACTACCAGCTCAGCCGCCTCAGCCATTTAAGTGAAATTGTTTTTCATAAATAATCGGAAGGTGTATTCTTTTGAATAAAGTATCTAGTGTTACATGTTATTGAAGAGTGTAGTATTAATACCAATTTTAAAAAGAAACCAACGGATGGCCTACCCTCTATAATCTTAGGGTAACTTCAAATCCCGATATTTAGTTGCCGTTTTGCGCCGCGAGAGCGGCAGGAGACATCAACCACGACCGTATCTGAGACAGACTCGTGAGACTAGTGGCATTCTCAAATCTGTGTGCTCCTTATTGCTTAACATTATTAAAGAATACCACGCAAAAATTCGGCAAATGGGATACAGTGGATTGGCTGACATTGCAGTATGTTGTGCAATAACACCTTCTGATTAAAAGTCTCCATAGACACACAGTTTGATAATGTAGTTATCAAGAGATAGAGGCCCCGAGAGAGTTCAGAAATATACTATCAGCAGATGTTATACTAGTAGTTTCAATTTCAATGTATTTGCAAATTGAAATACACTCTTCGTCCATATAACCCATGTTCATACACACTATGCAACTCTGCTCATACATCCCTTTCTTGATATATAACACAAAAATAGTGTATGTATGGAGTAAAATTAGGTTGTAATTCACCTTGAAGGTTCTTTTCATGTCTTAATAACGATATATCAACGCATGCTCCTGTCGGAATTACCATTTGTATAGGTTATGTCTCGTTTATGCCAGACTGCATGCTAGATGTTTGAAAAGTGGAAGTCAGACGAAAGTCAAAAATCGGGTACATTGAGTTTAGTACGATTTCCGTCACTGCCACAGTGGCACGTTCCAACAATGATTTAAAAAGAGTATATCAAGCAATGAAACGTGTGTTGTGTCTTCCAGAGATCTTATCCTCAAGAGATCACCAGGAATGAGTTAGCATTAGCTTCCTCCCGCTCCTCAAAAAGTTTTGATAGATCATACATTCTCACGATATCCTCTGCCAGAGCTGTTTTTTCTTCTCTTGCCTACTGTCATATGGCTTGTACATCACGAAAAACTCATTTCTGTCTGTCCGCTAATCTTTGGACCACCTATAACTTGGAAAGTACTGCTCGAATTTGGACACATTTACATAAGGTTACTACTATGCCAAGGACGAAAAACCTTAGTAGTTTTTGAAAATCGGTCCAGTGACGGCGGAGCTAGGGACAAAAACACAAAAAATACAAATTGCTCGTACTCCGTTTTTTGAAATGTCAGAGGTTCCTGATCACTCTCAGAAAAAAATTGGGAGTGGGATGTTGAAGGGGGTTGGGGGAAGGTATATCTCATTTTGTTGGCGGCAGTACGCATCCAACCACAGCAATTTTACGCATCTATCAGTACATATTTCACACATCAAAGGTGTCCGTTATAACTTATGAAATATTTATAGACGAAACACGAGGTCTGTCGGGACGATTCAATTCAATGGCGAATTTCATATGCCGAACCTTGCCTTGCGTCTGATGGGATCGCATACAGGCATGTTATAGTATCGTGGCTGGAGCTTATGACGTGTTTGACCGGAGTGACCATGGTAATTGGTAGGAGAGTTGTCAAATATTTGGTGACACCAACATCACAGGGACCTACAGTCACTGTTACTTCTGTATGTACGGCATATGTAGCCGAAAAGTATACAGGGGTTCTATGACCGGCACCTATATTGTTGAATTTTGGACTTCGATAACAACATTATCGAAGGTGACAATTAAGAGGTCATACTAACTAATACTAAATACTGAGAATTCAGCCAATTCTAGAGGATCCCCTTTCCCGTATCATTTGAGCCGAATTCTTTGGATCTTATCAGTATCACTCAATATGAGAAATTAAGATGGCCTAAATTATTGGCAAGCGCATTCGAGCATGGATAATGTAGTCAGGGCAGCAGCACCCCAAACATCTGAGCAGTACTGGAGGCTGGGCTTTGTTGATTTTACATGATATTTTTCTACAACACACATATATTGGTATAATTCAAAATGAATCAATAAAAAATAAGCTAAAAAGAGTCAATATGCTGGTATCTTTTTGTTACGCCTTGTGGATCTCCGAAACTTGGAATTCGAAGTAGATGTCATGAGTCCAAGGTCTAGAGATGCTAAAACGCATCTACAGCAATAATTTACAGTTACACGATATTAATTATATTATGTATTTATATCATACAAATAGACCATTTACGCAAATGAAACCAATCTGGATTAAAGACTATATTTTATGAATTTCTCGATGCCGATATGAAACCTTTTTTAGAATACAATGTCTGAGAAGAGCTGACCAACTACTT